CCATCCTCCTTCAGCCAGTCATCATTGACCACCTCCCTCACCCAGTCATCATTAACCATCCTCCTCACCCAGTCGGCATTGACCATCTCCTCCCTCACCCAGCTTACCACTGACCATCCCCCCACCCAGTCAGTAATTGACCATCCTCACTCACCCAGTCATCATTTACCATCCTCCCTCACCCAGTCGGCATTGACCATCCTCCTTCAGCCACATCATTGACCATCCTCCTCACCCAGTCATCATTAACGATCCCCCTCACCCAGTCGGCATTGACCATCCTCCCTCACCACCCAGTTACCACTCGACCATCCCCTTCACCCAATCATTGAGCATCCTCCTCACCCAGTCATTACCAATCATCCTCCCTCACCCAGTCGGCATTGACCATCCTCCCTCAAGTCATCATTGACCATCCCCTCACCCACTCATCATTGACCATCCTCCTCACACATTCATCATTAACCATCCTCCCTCACCCAGTCGGCATTGACCATCCTCCTCACCCAGTCATCATTGACCATCCTCCCTCACACATTCATCACTGACCATCTTCCCTCACACAGTCATCACTGACCATCCTCCTCACACAGTCATCATTGACCATCCTCCTCACACAGTCATCATTGACCATCCTCCCTCACACAGTCATCACTCACCATCCTCCTCACACAGACATCACTGACCATCCTCCCTCACACAGTCATCATTAACCATCCTCCTCACCCACTCATCATTGACCATCCTCCTCACCCAGTCGACATTGACCATCCTCCCTCACTCAGTCATCATTAACCATCCTCCCTCACCCAGTCGGTATTGACCATCCTCCCTCAGCCATTCATCATTGATCATCCTCCTCACCCAGTCATCATTGACCATCCTCCCTCACCAGTCGGCATTGACCATCTTCCTTCACCCAGTCATCATTGACCATCCTCCCTCACCCAGTCATCATTAACCATCCTCCCTCACCCAGTCGGCATTGACCATCCTCCTCACCCAGTCATCATGACCATCTCCTCACCCACTCATCATTGACCATCCTCCCACACCACTCATCATTGACCATCCTCCTCACCCAGTCGGCATTGACCATCCTCCTCACCCAGTCATCATTGACCATCCTCACATTCATCACTGACCATCTTCCCCACAGTCATCATTGACCATCCTCCCTCACAGTCATCATTGACCATCCTCCCTCACACAGTCATCATTGACCATCCTCCTCACACAGTCATCACTCACCACCTCCCTCACACAGACATCACTGACCATCCTCCCTCACACAGTCATCATTGACCATCCTCCTCACCCACTCATCATTGACCATCCTCCTCACCCAGTCATCATTGACCGTCCCTCACCCAGTCATCATTGACCATCCTCCTCACCCAGTCATCATTGACCATCCTCCCTCACCCAGTCATCATTAACCATCCTACCTCACATCAGTTATTCTCATGTCAGTGAAGACAGTTAAGTTAACACGGTGAAAATATAGACATGTAAATGAGACACCTGCCCCTGGCATGCAATTACTGTCATCACTTCCGTCTACGTCAAGGAAAGTTTTGTTGAAACTGACTATAAAGTTATGTAAATGTCCTACACGTAGATATCTGTTTATCTAGAAGAGTTAACCCCTTACCCAACCACCTCTCGGGATATATTTGTAAACAGTTTATGTAAATGCGGCACGCTGAATACTAACCAGGCTCCAGCATTTCCCTATTAGTAAGAAGTATCCATTCACTGCTGTGTGGACTGAGGTCTGTTTCGGGGGCGAACGAGCGAGCCTTCAATGAAGTTGAAACAGTTGATGGTTTCATCGAGCTTCTGTTAATTCTTCTATGATCGGAAATTCGGAACAAGTAGACATGGCACCATTGCTGACCACCCCATCTTCCACTTAGGTCAAGTGCACACAACCTGACCTTGGCTGTTAGATTGGTATGTAGAGTTATCTGTGTAAGTATAGGCATATATCGGAAATTAGATTAGCACCCGTTATCGACAGAATATAACTTGCTTATCTTGAGCAGCTGAATGTAGGTGAAATGTGAAGTAGATGAGCAATCGCTGCAAAAGTAGTAATTAAGATATGGCCACAGTAAAGGTATCCGTTCTGTTGGTACCACATTCAGGGTCTTCTGATACCACACGTTGAATAGCATTAACTAGGCCATGTCTTCTCTCCACCCGTGCTGTATGCGATCCACACTAACATGGTGTTCTAGTTTTCCTCTCAGGTGCTGTAGTGGTCGTTGATTACTTGTTTATCCACCCTCAGTGTATCTATCTATATAGAATACCTGCCAGTTTTAACTTTCTTACTATGTCATTTCAGTCAGGTTCTCTTCGGCCAATCACAGTATTCGTTTTTAATTCTCGTGGGAGAGTTTGTAGGAAAATACACACGCCTACCTGTATGTAATCCGTTTCCTAGATCCTTGATCATGCCAATCGTCTGCCGCCTCCTCCTCGTACTAACTCGACATTTTGTACTTAGGTGGACCCGTCTTGTGTTCGTTCAATCTTTGGTTTATATATTATAATCGCAGTTTAAGCTTCATAAAGCAACTGACGTATTTTTCAAATAGGTATAATGTTTTGTTTTTATTGCCATAATTAAATGAAAATTAATTCCTATATAACATAGTTTCCTCTTTTTAATTTAAGACGTCGTAACAGCTCCAACTGTGTAATGAATATTATCAATAATTTATCACAATATAACCTACGACAACATTTAATACTGTGGTTATTGAAGGTAGTGCTTCTTGTACTGTACATAATGTTCATTAATTCTCTTTTGATTACCGAAAATGTCCAAGAAGTGTTTATCAACATACACATAAACAGTGTGTGAAATAAAGAAATAGCTAAACTACAAGGCTGGCGTTACGCAGTGTGCAAAGATATACAAAGAGTTTCGTTGATTGGTGGCGTCGACAACCCTACCCGGAAGAAGCGTCCTGGACGACCTCGTATCACTTCCCCACGCACTCTGAAAATTACCCAACGTCAAGTAGATAAGAATCCACGTATTTCAGCACGGCAGTTAAAGGAACAAAACTCTAGGCTACTTAGTCATGTGTCTGTACGTACTATTCGTAGCCGGCTTCATGGTGACTTGAAATTCAAGAGGTGTATGCCTGCAAGAAACAGCTTCTAACAGACCGCCAACGCAAGATTAGACTCGCATTTGCCAAGAAATACTTGCAGTGGGACGAAAGAAAGTGGAAAAAAAGTGTTGTGGTCCGATGAGGCCACGTTTGATGTTACTGGCAACAGTAAAGGCAAAGTGTGCCTGAGGCCTGGTGACCCCTACGACCCCAAGTACATTCAAGCCACTGTAAAATTTCCAGACTCGTTAATGGTTTGGGGTCTTTTGGCTATAATAGTGTTGGTAGCCTTGTGTTTTTACCTCGTAATCAGACTATGAATAAGGATCGCTACCTGGAGCTGTTGTGTGATGAATTACCCGACTGTTTTGAGAAGACTGGTTGTGATATTTTTATGGAAGACGGTGCACCGGGCCACACTGCTAAATTAATACGTGCTTGGTTTGCATTTTGTGGTGTGAAATACATTGAGGACTAGCCAGGCAACTCACCTGACTTTAACCCTATTGAGTACTTGTGGGCGATAATAAAGAAACAGTTGTGTGGGCGGGATACAGCGTTCCTAAGCTCCAGGCCGCCATCCAGGATATTTGGGTCAACCTTCCATATACCTCCACCATCGTTTCGAATCTGATCCCAGGCGAGTTAATCACACAACCACCGCATTCAGCTATCCGTAACCACGCCCACCAACATGATCACCTGTTTTCTCCGTCTGGTTTCTCAGTTCTTGGCAGGAGCAATTGTGAGACGGACCTCCTCATTATGGAAGCCTTGCACCAATATAAAGTAAAGCCATCGATTTGTGATATGGCTTCCTGTGAATTTTTGTGTTTTTCGCACTAAGACTCGTCTAAATTAAGGTAATACCTCCTGTATATTTTTATTTCTCATTGTTTTTTCCTGATTTTAGCTTTGTACGTAGGTGTCTCGTCATTTTTGTCGGTTTTAAGTTGGAGTGCTCTTTCTTTAAATTTTGTGGACTGTTTGGCTGTGTGAGGAAAGGATGTACTATGACGGAGTTCTAGTGTAACCGACATCCACGGAGAAACGGTGGGCACCGCGGGCAAGACAGCTCTTAGACAATCATAAGCTCCTCCTTCACGATGATCAAAAGAGAATCAATGAACATTATTATGTACAGTACAAGAAGCACTACCTTCAATATCCACAGTGTTAAATGTTGTCGTAGGTTATATTGTGATAAATTATTGATAATATTCATTACACAGATGCAGCTGTCACTATGTGTTAACATGACAACGAAGTGCTGTTCGAGAGTCATATAGAAGAAAGTGACTCCATCCCCATTGTAGCAAACTTTAGAAACCTCGGAAAGACACAAGAGGATATGGCTGGTCAGTGAGTCGTGATGGGTCCTCCTTCCTGTATAGCAGTGAGACAAGACTATACAAACAAATGGTATTGTTTTGTTGTTCCTGCTGAGGATAATAAGGAATAAGGTTGTGATGAGCAGTGTCTACTGTGTAGTGTTGACTGTCTCCACACATCGACCATTACGTCTGGACCATTAAGAGACTGGCCCATAATGGTGTAACCTGATACAAGGTTTTCCTCCATCACCTCCACTCGTAACAACACTTCTTCCTTCTCTCACGGCCAATAGCTTAAAACGTTCATCATGATTCGCGCAGACGCAAGTATGCAAGTATGCGAAAATTTTAAGATGATAAATTACAAAACCAGATCCCTAAGCATTTATATAACTCTAACCCTTAAATTAAATAAAGCTTTCCCCTGGATTGCATTGGCCGCGCTTCGACGTAATCTGTATTTGTACCCTTCTTGTCATATTTTACACAAGTACTGTTTAATACTGCAATAAGGTCTTTCAATGGAAATTAAATCTTATATTTTTTGTTTATTATTCACACAATAAACAACATAAAATTCATAGTTGATTTATTATTGTCTTCTTGGGTGAGGACCTCTTGCCTGGTGACTTATGAATGCTTCCTGCGAGTCTGGGCCAGCCTGAACTCCCCCCAAGAGATGTACCCGTCATTGTTGTTGTCGTTCTCCTTCAACACGTCATCTATCAGTTCTGTTAATGGACACAGCTATTAACAACATATTCTTTCTAACAAATCCTCCATTTCTATTAGTTTTTAACAATACAGTATTTATAATATGCCTTGGTTCATATATGTATAATCCCAGTTCCCAGTTAATTATAATTACGTAGGAGGTACAGTATAAGTTCTAAAGCGCCACACGATGTCGATCGTACCCATACATTACAAAACGCTCCCGGTAAAACATCGTCTAACAGCTGCATTTAAGATAAAAAACTTTCACTGCCTCTGCCAAAGCTCAACATTATTAAATCAACTGCACTGTTATAGGAGTCCTCCTTTAACTCACAAACCTGTAGTATTCAAGAAACACACATTTTCTTTCATTTCGATTTAGTGATCAATGATTTGTCTAATAGTTGTTGTCTAGTATAAAAAGTGACTTCCTGAAGATCTTGGTTGTTGGAGCAAAGTAATGCATAACAATAGTTATATTCATACACGGCATGTTGTTTACGCAAAAGAAGTCAGGTGATAGTTATTGAAGACAATTCTGTTTTTGTTATATCTCTTAATCCTTAACGATTGATGACTAGTAGATTTAGTGCTCTAGATTACGTGCTGGTGACCTACGTTGCTAAAGCGAAGTACTGCAATTATTATTTAACAATACCAACATCTTTAGTTCTAAGAGTGTTAGGTAAATGCCAGGAAAATTTATTTGTTTCTCTGTGTGTATACAGTAGTGAATGCATAAAATGAACACCATTTACTGATTTTGCAAACAGTCAAAACAAAAATACACGATTAAGGAAACTGGCATGGGTGTCAAATAGGTTTAACCTGATGGACGTTACATAAAAGATTTTAACATTTGCAATCAATGTGTCGTATAATCTGTGTAATTTTTGAAAAATTATATCGCAAATTATATTATAAACCGCTGTTGCAGCCCTCAGTGCACTCTATTTGTCAAAACTTAGATTAGAATCCTTCGACACTTGAGGTGAATGCCTACGTGATCAACTCACCAACGTAAAACTTTAATTTTTCATTCCATTTCTCTTGGCGGAAGTTTTCTATTATTTTCCTCTCATCCTTACTGAGGTTCTTGAGCTTCTCCTCGTCAATGCCCACGTCATCATCGTCATCGTCATCGATATGGTTGATGGCTGCCATGAGCTCCATCCCGTCAAGACCAAAGTTGTTGTCAAAGTCGTGTATTCTGAAACAAATGAATTATGACGTGTTGAGCCACACAACTCATAACATGGAATTCTCCTGCGAGTGCTCAGATTCTTTTCTTCCTCGCTGTTTGGTAGCAATTAAATGCTTACCTTCCTCTCTTGATGACCAAGACTGTTCACGAAGATTAAAAATTTCTCATTTTATTCCTTTTATCTTTATGAACCTCTGTGAAAATGGCAATATTATTACAGAACTAATTTGAAGTAAGTAAGATACATGACTTGCCGCAATAAATTCGCTGCACCAGTGATGAGTATATTCTTAAGCATCATCTATAGGTAACAGAAACGTACTTTTTTGAGAAAGTTAATAATAATAATCATCAGGGTCGCGATGCGTTTACAAAAGTTGGGGACCAAGTTAATCAATTTCTCAAAGGCAGATTTAAAAACAAAATCCAGATGAGGGATTCACACGTCATAGAATGGCACATAGGGCTGTAAGAACTCATCAGATTACGTGCATTTACAGTTCTTTACAGTTCTACACTAATGGAAGGCAACGATATTCTGCTGCTTAATTCTGACCAGCGAGAACATTATATCTCTACCTTTAACTATATTCAGATTATGAAGGGAGAGGTTGCTCACTCTCTTGGATCCGCAGCTATTTAGTGTGCTGTGGGTGTGGACTATTCTTGGGATCAGTGTCAACAATCAGTGGTGATGAAGACCATTCTCTCATAAAACGCTACAGATTAACTGAGTTGCTCTTGAGTTTAAAAGGAAAGACGAAGGAAACTTAATCGCCGATTAAGAATAATTATTACTTTTAAGTATCTTTTTTTCTAATAATCAATATTTTGAAGCTCAGGAACATGATTGCAAAAAAAAATATCCTCTGCCTTTCCAAAAATCAACCTGCTCTTTAATTTGATTTACATACGAAAATGTAACAAAGTTAATTAATTTTAATATTCAAGCACATAATAGTTATTATTTGGTCTTATATATACACTGCATCTGTGAGACAAGGCGCTTAACCTCTGGTTCGAGATTTGTGTGGTGAGAAGGGGTGCGTTCCCGTTTCTCCGCCCTCGGTTGCTGTCTAGTATTAGCAAAGACTTGATGAACGATCCTTAAAGACTAGCTCGCAATGCAATAGACACCTCAGTCCGAAAAAGTTTTCAGGAACTCCCTTACTGGCGACGCTGCTAACTTTTTATTAATATAAAATGTCAAGTTTTGTGTTCTAGAAACAACAGCAATAAAGGAAGTAGGTAGTAGGCATCTACCAAACAGGGAGGTACTACCGCCTGGGAAGATATTGGAAGCATAATGTATTGTCTGATGGTAGACCCTGCTGCCATATTGCATCACGAAAATTGTGACCAAGTCCCAGGTTCCTGATCTGACTTTCTGCCTCATTTACACACAATTGCAGGGTCTCAATTGTGTCTCTTACTTGACAACACAACATACATGTATTGTTTCTATTTTTTTTTTTTTTTGTATTTCTTTAGTTCTTTATTATTATTATTATTATTATTATTATTATTATTATTATTATTATTGCTGCTGCTTTTTTATTGCATTATTATTTTATTTTACTTTTTATTATAAATTTTATTTACCATGAATAATTATTACATTTCGCCCCCAGGCCTCGATGTGGGTCAGTGACCTGTGCCCGGGTGGGCTAATCCCTGTAAAAAATAAAATAAATAAATAAATAAATAAATATTATTAGATCAAGGTATATGAGGAGGGGTTAAGGTAAATCTACTTTGCATAGCTTGTCGTAGTGTTCCTGTTGGAGAGGACTCGCTCTCCTGCCTAATAGGAAACAGGAGGAGATATCTTTAACCTAAATTGACGATACAAGTGAATATAACTAAGATCCTGGCGTGCATCTACGAGTGGGTTTTGCAGGTTATGTATCTATGCTACTGTGCCAAGTAGCAACCTTGTAAATAAGCTACTGTGCCGAGTAGCATTTACATATATAATTACGTGGCAACACTCCACGTGTTATGTGGCAACATTGCCCCGAGGCTGCCATATGGCAAGGCAGTCTCAGTCTGACTGTGTGAGTCGTGCATGGCACACGCTAGTCACCACTCCACTTGTATTTCTCTCATCCATAATAAACGGACTTCAGTGTTACCCGGTGTTTCCCTACCCATCACTGCATTCCTCAGGGAACACTTGTAACCATCAGGTTTCATTCTTGTTTAGGATCCCAGTACCACCCGACACACTAGAAGTAAAACTTACTTGAAGTAGTGATAGTCCAGCTCTTTGTCTGACATTTGCTCGATTCTGTCCAAGGACAAGTATTCAGGAAGTTCCTCCTTCAAGTGTCTGACGATGGAGAAAAGATATCAAGATATTAAGGTCACATTAACATTTTTGTATGAAGACCTTTATACACATAATTTACATTGTTTATTTAGTAAGATCATGTTTATATTATATTCAGTGTAATATTTTTCCACATTGAGTTTCTATTACCAAATTAATTAACGTATTTTGTAACGCTTGTTGGACTATTAAAAAAATTCGATTCATAAAATAAGTGTGTTGTTGTTGTTATTGTTACTGTTGTGACATACGGTACATCTTTATCCACGTTTACCGATGGTCCGGTAAAACTAACGCTCGTGAAGGTTGACAAAATCAGATACTTTTGTGTGTGTGTGCAATACTAGGTCAAAGGCGCGTTATTGTTGAAATTCACCTGAAAGTAATGTGCCTTATATGGGCCCTCTACCGGCTGTTTTGAAGGTGGGTGTACGGTATTTTAAAAGAAAAGTGTGGCTGTTATAACTATCAGAAAATTCTTATTTCGGTTCTCCATGATACACCAGAACAACACAGAGAGACCTAATGACGAAACTGGACACATTTGAAATGACTATTACAAAAACTTATTAAACAAATATAAGTAACACGTATCAAAGGGCAGCATGTATGATTTTCTTCCATTTTAAGTTATTAAGCTACAAAATAAACCATGGCAACTGAAGCAGGATAGCGTCGCGACGCCATAAATCAATTTAATCTAAATAATAAGGAAATTTTTCCAAGTCATTTCTATCGGCTTTCTATTTCTATATTGCATTAAAGTTCTGTTCTATATTTCAATATCAGAGCTGGGAATCACCCCTCCCTTTTAACATCATAATAAGAGGGATAACTTCGAAGTATTTTTGTTTCCACTTACAATATTTGGGGACTTTCTTCATGTTGTTCCCGAGTAAATTGTCCGTTTACACAAAGCCGTATTTTCGCTATTTTTGACACGCACTAAACCTAAATATATCGTACTGAAACATATTTTTTCCGAGCGAGAATTGTGAACTTTTGGAACAACCTGCCAGAGAGTGTTGTGACGGTACCAAGTGTGACCTCTTTCAAGACCATACTTGACCAACACTGGAGCAGGTTCAGATACATTCAGGTGCCGGTGCATGCCCAATACTTGCCAACAGTGCGTAACATTGACGTCACAGGCTAACGAGCCGATCACTTGCTATGAGGATGGAAGTAAAAGACATTTTACCCTCACAAAATCTAATTAGGCTAAATTATATATATATATATATATATATATATATATATATATATATATATATATATATATATATATATATATATATATATATATATATCGATAAAATCACACGGGGAAAAGGAAACAACGGAGCACCTTAGCTTTCGTCTTTATTCAAGACATCTTCAGTTGCTTATCAAGATTTATCTTATCCACGTTTTCATTGTGGATATATATATATATATATATATATATATATATATATATATATATATATATATATATATATATATATATATATATATATATATATATATATATATATATATATATATATATATAATAGTGGCGAATCCTGACTTAAGATCTTGAGCACGCTCTATTTTGTAGAGCGGGAAGGGGGGGGGGTGTGCTGTACCTAGGTGGTTTAACATTAAATAGTAGTTTGAGATAATATGATGATAAAGGCTTTCAAGTAGGCCTGCGCAAGCCATTGTATTATTAACTTAGCCTGCTACCTATTCTCTCATTTAAATTTAAAATAGCCTAAACAAGGAAAGGAAAAGTATTTGAAAAAGTTAAATTAATTAAAAACAATTTAATTGTATTTCAGTATATAAAAGTCTACAAAAGTCTTACCTTTCTCCTTCTCCTTGGTTTCTTCTCCCCTTTTCTTTCCCTTTCAGGCTTTCACTTATAAACGAACTCCATCCTCCTTTTTTTTTTTCAATAAATTTTTCAGTCACTTCATCGTAAAATGTATGCTTCATTTTCAAGTGCCCAAGAAGTTTTTTCAATTGACATCAACGCCAATGACAAAGTATTCAAATTATCAAAACCAGTTTTCGACCATACACTGTGATCAGTTGAAAAGAGCAAACACGGCCAGCAGAAAAGTTTGTTTTAACTTATTTGAGCCAGTCAACCAATGTGTGCTTTCGTACTGCATGATATTAAAATGCCTAACATATTCTTTGTTTTTATCTGTATGCGTCTTTGTAAGTCCTGGAATTCGTGGACATGGTCTACGTTTTCCTACGATTTCAATTTTCTCTGAAATGTTTCTTCTCGAAAATGGCTTTTCCAGCAGTTCCTTAACTAAAAAAGTGTCCTATTCTACCACAGTTTCCATCGCAAGTAGAATATTTATAACACTATAAGTCTATAACACTCGGGTAGCAGAAGCACCACAACACACACGAGCGGAAGAATGTAAGCAACTCGCACAACCCACACGGACTCGTGGGTGGAGCGACATTGATGCGCCACGGCCAGGCGCATCATATCAGCCAATTCACCTGGTGTGACTTTAACGTCAGCGAGCTGCGCGCGCAGGCTTTCATCGAGGTGAAACAGCACCTACCGATGCGCTTGGGAGAGGAGCTAGCCCCGGCCTCGCTCGCTTACACAGTGCTGTTACTAAGCTCAAGGCTGCATTTTAGAGTATAAATGTAAATTTATTATATAAGATGAATAAACAAAAAAAAAGCTCTGACCAGTGAGCATGCGCCGCATGCCTAGCATGCTCAGAGGAAACGAACACCTTGACCCCTGCATAAGAACAAAAATCGCTACCACTGCACTACAAGGACAACGAAGTAAGCCTAGGCTTTGTTTTATTTCACACAAGGTCTGTTCATTTGTCATAATTTTAAAGCTACATATATATCTCAATAGTCCATACTTATACATGCTGAGTTCCATTCACAAACGATACCTCACTAGTCGGGAATCGAACACTGGACCTCTACGTGAGAACCGGAATCGCTACTACTGCGCCACAAGGACGTTCACGTTGCTTAAAAATAAAACGAGTGAACAGGCTTTCTGTGAAATAAAACAAAGCCTAGGATTTCCTTTGTTGTCGATGTGGCGCAGTATCTTTGTTCTTGTGCAGAGGGCTAGGGTTCGATTCTCGACTAGTACGCTCACTCAGTAACAGGTGGCGCTGTAGTAAAATTTGGGGACCTTTCTGGAAAGTTATTGGCTGTGTTGGCAATATCGCACACCTTCCTCCAGTCCAGTCGACCTCACACAACACGAGGTGACAACAAAGTGAAGGTTATTCCAGACCAGTGTTTTATTTCCACATGCTTAAGTACTATCCAATACCAGCAGGACTTTACACCATGAAGGCCCTTAACAACAGTGATTGAAGGACTATCGGCTGTGAGCGTAAACATTATAATTACAGTTTTTATAGTGACATGTCTGTGCAATTAATTTTTTTGTGATTTAACGCAGTTTTTTACATTGGCTTCTCACAAAGTCCTCCGCAAATGGTTGCCAATTGTCAATTAAGGCTTCTCCTTCACGACTATCATAACTACGTGGACGGATGATGACACAGTTCTCTCCTGTGATGGCATTTATTTTCCAAGGAGATTAATGGTTCGTATAATTAATAATATAAAACATTTGTAATAAAAAAAATGAGTTCCAGAGTCCTTACATTGCACCTGGTCGCCTTTAAAAGCTGAATGGACTGTGGTTTGCAATTGGTCACTAATTCAGCCTTATTTGTGCTAGCATACTTTTAATCATCGTGAGTGAGATGTTTATAACAAGAAAAAAATTCGTCCAGAAAAAGCATCGATGACTGTGAATCAGAATGAGAAATATTGTGCTGTAAATAAAGTATTTCCATATAATAGCAACGAATTTTAACCACATAGTTCGTAGATGCTGCAAACTAAAACAATCTCTCAGACGAGTTTATTGATATGCATTATTTTATGATTATTGTCCAAAGTTATGAGGCGGACCAGGTGGGGGGAGATGAATTTAGTGATGGCTGATTGGATACGGTGTACACCTCCTGCTCTAAGGTTTGTTTATTCTTGCACAGGGCACACCAAATTCACCCAGTTATAAAGGGATACCTAACTTTATAGTTCAGAAAGTGGGATAAGCTAATTCTAGAGACGACCACTCTGCCTCCTGAGGGCTTAGTGGGCTGTATCCACACTGCCCTTAACGGTGTCGTCAGGACATTAAGATCAGCTTTCATTTTATTGACAGCCTTATTTTAAATATTGTCGTTGCTCCGTCTCCCACATCTCTCTCTAGATCTTGTCCTCAAATCTCTTCCTTAAACAACCGCATGTTTACCTCAAAGTTTGTCTATTTTCATTTACAATACAAATGACTACATTGGTGTAAGTCTTCTAGTTGTCCCCTGTAGGTATATACATGTATCAGGTGGGAGGCTCTTTGTAGGCTCTTCCTCCAAATTTGGTTCAGGAAAAGCAAATACTGTGAAAGCTTTCAGGAAAATGCACAAAGAAAAACAGCTGTTAACATTTCACTAAAAAAGCAAAACGGTTTTAATTTCATTAAAAGAAAAGACAAAGAGATCAGCTAAAATTTAATTGTAAACTGTGTTTTCATTCGTGTGGATGCGCGTATGCGCATGCCAGTGTGTTTTAACCTTGAGTCTGTGCGGAATTCTGAAGCAAGACAAAATATCCAAAATACCGGGCCCGGTGTCCTGGAGATTCTCACTGTGAATATTCCGCGTCACTTAAAACATAAAGATATATCTGTTTAACTTCACCTAAAGCGAAAAAATATAGTCTAACAATTGCATTCAAACTGTACTATCTCCGATAAAGAATTATTTGATTCGTTCACGACAAATATTTCGCACAAACGTCTGTGATCTACTTAAACGCTATTTATTGTTGACAAGGAATAGTTCAAAACATATCATACTCACTCTCTGTCGTGCAAGAGTTGGTTGTCCTCCAGCAGTTTAGGATTAGAAAGCTGCGCCGGCGGCTTTTTTGGTACATGGTGACGGTGCTTGTTCTGCTTCTGGTGTTGGTGTGAGTGTTCGTTCGTCCTCCTATGCATGGGTGGGTGGGATCCCTCTATGGCTGAGGTCGTCAACACACACGTCGCCCATACCGCCAACACAACCCATAGTGCCAAGACCTTCATCCTGTAACTGTATCACTGATAAATTACTAAAACTAGTTTGGCGAAAAATGCTGCACTACATACCTGTAATTTTAGTCTGGTGTCGATAACCAGACAACAACAAAGCAAAGGTTGACAGTTATCGTGCTGCTTGTAAAATATATTGTTCGTGATCATACAAATATTACACCTAACATTTCAACCTGCTTCTGCAATCATGAGCGACTTATTTGGCGTTAATGAGCGACTTATTTGGGATGAAATGCGCAGGGCATCCAGACATAGCAAAGTCTGTATAGTAGACGACTTTAACTTTAGCCAAATAGATTGGGTCGACCTAATGGGTAACTCAGAATCAGAGGATTTTCTTGAAAAAGTTCAAAACTGTTTCCTATGTCAACATATAACCGAACCCACCCAGGGTAATAATATCCTCAATTTAGTTCTGTCAAACAGAGAAAATCCCCATTAATAATATCGAGGTAGGGAACGAACTAGCTAACAGCGATCACAGAAATAGGATTCCAATTAGAATTTAATGGCAGTCACAAGGAAAATTCATTTAAGTCCCAGGTTTCACAAGGGCAAACTTTGATAGTTTGAAAAGGCAACTGAGAGAAGGGGTATCACGTTCGGAGGTGAATTACATGACCTCACACAATGTACCCACAGAGAGCGACCTCACTTTACCTGGTGACCTGACAACGATAACCTCACAAAATATGATGGTCGAGGATGACCTGATCTCAGGTTGACGAGTTCCACAACTATTTAAATAATGAGTTACTTAATGCACAAAGGCAGAACATACCATGCAGAAAACTCAGATCAAACAACAATGACCCTAAATGGATAAATAATTATTTAAAAAATATTACTGGACAAAGGAAGGCTGTAGGTAGGAGAATAAATCGTGGTAAAGGTTACCTCCGAGATTATTATAAGGTGTTGGCCAGTAGGGTTTAGACCGAGATAAGAAAAGCAAAGAGGAATAATGAACTGAAGGTAGCAAGGGAGGCAAAGTCAAACCCAAGGGGTTCTTTCCGATGTATAAAACTAAAACACGAGAAATTATTGGATCAATACAGTCAGATACCGGCGAGCTAACTGATAACGATGGAGAAATGAGCAATAATCTGAATAAATATTTTTCAATAAATAGTTCCTATGGCGACGGACAAGTGGCAACAGGACAGGCAGAGAAGACTGCGGGAGTCTCTAGTCACAATTCTGCACATAGGCGGCACAGATAAGATGATCATTTATTCACTGGGATCTAGGCAGCAGTTCAATCTGGTTCTGTCTGTGTGACTGAGCAGCCCTTTTGAGGAGCCACTCTGCTCACCCAGCATGGGGAGGAGGCTAGAAAGGTTGCCCTAACCATAGCCTGCCTATAAAAAAAAAAAAAAAAAAAACTGACAGGGCAACTGCACTTAGTAAGGTCATCCTTATGCGGTCGAAAACACAATAAAAATCACAGATCAAAACAAAAACAAACTATACAACCTCTGATGGTCACTGCACGAAATGTCAGGACCCTTCTGTATACTGGCACAAATGAGCGTCCTGAAAGAAGAACTGCCCTTGTGGCAAAAGAGCTGGCTAGGTATAACAGACGTAGCAGCCATTAGGGAGTCCAGGCTCGCAGATGAGGGTCAACTCACAGAACGGGGGTCTGGCTATACCTTCTTCTGGAAAGGTAAGCCTGCTGAGCAAGGAAACCACATTTACGGAGTTGGCTTTGCAATCCGCCAACGCATCCTACACAGACTAACTGAAATGCCTATTGGAATCAACGAGCACCTCATGACGCTCCGAGTCCCACTGAATCACTGACGTCATGCCTTTTCATCAGTGCATACGCCCTGACACTGGATGCAGAGGATGACATCAAGGAGGCCTTTTATGCCAACCTTGACAGAGTGCTAACCTCTATCCCCAAAGAAGATAAGGTTGTGCTCCTTGGTGACTTAAATGCCAGATTTGGCAGAGATGCTGACATTTGGCAGGGAAACAGAGGGAGAAATGGACTAGGCAAGTGTAATGCCAACGGCCTACTCCTTCTCAGCAAGTGTCCTGCACAAAACCTTCCTATCACCAATACCTTGTTCAGGCAGGTTGATAAGTTCAAGGGTTCGTGACAACACCCACGTTCCAAACACTGGCATCTCATTGACTACATCATTGTCAAAGAAAGAGATCGCCGAGATGTCCTCATCACACGTGCCATGACAGGCTCAGACCACTTATTACTCCTAAATCTTTCTCAGTCAGATTTCTCTATAACATCGTTGTTTATCTGGTATCTGGTTTCTCTGTTTACATCTCCTAGACTAAGTACTTTACATTTGTCCACATTGAATTTTATCTGCCATTTTTCAGACCATTTGAGAAATTTGTTTAGATCTTCCTGTAGTTTTGCGGAGTCCTCGTCAGATTTAATTATACGCCCTATTTTAGTGTCATCAGCAAATTTATTTATGGTGCTGTCTACGCCGATATCTATGTCGTTTATGTATATAATAAATAATAATGGTCCAAGTACTGAGCCTTGGGGTACTCCACTAGTGACGTTACTCCAATCGGATTTTGTGCCGTTAATGCTCACTCGCTGTTCTCGGTCCTGTAATCACGCCCCAATCCATATTAGAATATCTCCTCCAATGCCATGAGCCTCCACTTTTCTTTTTAGTCTTTCGTGGGGGACTCTGTCGAAGGCTTTGTTAAAGTCAAGATATGCCACATCATAGTCGTGCCCGTCGTTCACTGATTCGAAAACAGCTGAAAAGAATGTTAAGAGATTAGATAGACATGAACGCCCGATTGTGAAGTCATTTTGGGAATCATTGATCAACTTGTGCTTCTCCAGGTGATTTCGAATAGAGTTTGAAATTATTGCTTCCAGTAATTTGCCTACAATTGATGTTAAGCTGATTGGACGATAGTTAGAGGATAGTGTTCTATCTCCCTTCTTGAAAATCGGTATTACAATCGCTGTCCACTAGGATTCTGGTACTACACCTGTTTTTAAGGACATTTTAAACAAATATGCTAAGGGCTTACTAAGCTCTTCCTTACATTCCTTTAATACTCTGGCAAATATCTCATCGGGACCTGGTGACTTATTAGGCTTTAGCTTGTCTATTTGCTTACTAACGTCGTTACTAGTCACTACTATCTCGCTTAATCTATTTTCTTCACTGTCTCTCTATATAGTTGGTGCCTCGGGTATCATGTTTAAATTTTTGGTGGTGAAAAGTGTTGAAAAATATTTATTCCGATTATTGCTCATTTCTCCGTCGTTATCAGTTAGCTCGCCGGTATCTGACTGTATTGATCCAATATTTTCTCGTGTTTTAGTTTTATACATCTGAAAGAATCTCTTGGGTTTGACTTCGCCTCCCTTGCTACCTTCAGTTCATTATTCCTCTTTGCTTTTCTTATCTCGGTCTTAACCCCACTGGCCAACACCTTATAATAATCTCGGAGGTAAACTTCACCACGATTTATTCTCCTACCTATAGCCTTCCTTTGTCCAGTAATATTTTTTAAATAATTATTTATCCATTTAGGGTCATTGTTGTCTGATCTGGGTTTTTTGTATGGTATGTTCTGCCTCTGCGCATTTAAGTAACTCATTATTTGTTGTTGTGGATATCGTTGTCACACACACACACACACAGGCGTGCGCGCGAGCGCACCTTCCGCACCAGTATTGACAGCCGTCAACCTCAAACCCGTTATGAAACTACAGTAATTATACAAGTATAGTCTCCTTACACGCTGGCTCACTTGTGGGTTCACCAAGTGCATATAAATGATGCAATACACGTCTACCTTCAACCGTTGATCATGTACAGTATAACAAGCCTTAAGTATACACACTGTAGTATAGGCTACATATACACATGTTTTGCGCTTACACAAACACACTACCCTGTACTTACTACACTGTCTCACACTGTTATTTCAGCATTTACTATTTATAAAGTGACTTCGGTGATTATTTCTTGGGATTTATGAAAGAAGTGTATGAAGGGAATCCCTGCGCTGCTTGAAAGGAATTTACTATTGTTTTCGAAAATGCAAGCGTCTATCAATATGGACGTTCGTATAGATAGATAATCATTATCAAACTTTAAACGAATGGCATCATCTCTAACATAACTACCCAAACTTAACCCAATTTTATCTACCCTACAATAATTTAGGTACAGCTTGATTATGATAGCAAACGCCTTTAACAAAGCAAATTTTACAGTATGTTGTACAAGCATTTTCATTAATTCATACCAACAAAAACCAAATGTTGCCCGTATTGGGCAAAAACATCAGTTGCGTTGTAAAGCTTACTCGATTATCCCTATTTAGCGTTACATGTAAAAGCAATTTATGTATGTATTCAAATTATTTACATTAATAAAGACGAAGAAAATAGAGGCCACGTTCGCTGAATATTCAACAGTAGTTCAGTGTACTATCTAGGTCAGAGAAGGTAAACTGTGGCCCAGGGCCATTTTTGACACGCCGAGGGTCTCAGGGCGGCCCGCGACCATGGGGGGTTCTGATTTAAGAGGAGATCAGAAGTATAGATTTTGTTGATAGATTTTGATGAAACTTAGAAGATATATATATTTACTATTAAAAGACTAACTTATAATCGCTGAACTACTTTGGGATTATGTTCCAGTGTGGCTGTCATACCCATTGAATTTGCCAAGATTATCTTTAACATTGATAATAATAGATGGCCCTGGAAGAACTCTTATGATTTCAGTCTGGCCCTCCGTCCTCCATAGATTCTCCACCCTTGATCTAGGCAGTAACTCGCTGACACCTGCCACCTGGATCCACAATTAAGTAAACCCCCTGGCGTGTGTGCACCTGGCGGCTGACACACCTGTGACCTCAATCATCCAGTACTTGATGATAACTGTCTCTTGAATCGACTTAATGAACAGGCTGTTCCTGCTTATTTCAGTGTGTAATACTGAGTTTCACAAGCAAGGGGGAGAATGTTGGAGTTTT